AAATCATAAAAAACTTTCGGTACATTTAAAATCACAGAACAAAGTCCAAACAACCAAACCAATTGACATAAAACATCTTCATTCATGTTTGAATGAACAAGGAATCACTAAATTTGATTTAAAAGAATTAGAAGAGGCTTTAAATTCTGCTAAAACAGGAAAAATTGATGCACAAGCATTAGAAAAGATTTTGAAAACATTGTTAGTTGATGAGACCAAGGCAAATGAAGAAGAAATAGAAGTCTTGATGAAAAAGATTAGCAAATCATACTTGAATGGTGGTGATGGAAGCAGCAATAATATTATTAAAGACTTGAATGGTGATGGTGATTGCAATAATAAAATTAAAGAGAATGGTATTCTTGTTGATGGAAAACAAGGAATTCATGTTGATAGTGAATTGATTGAAGATATTGTTTTATGGAAATCTAGTATGGATTTAGGACCAACACCAACTCCTAACGTTGATTTAAATAATTTTATTGAAACAACAAAATAAAATACATATATATCATATGACTATGATATAATTTAAAATTATATATTTTACATGTGGGGCACACTGCAACTAGTGTTACGGCCTGTGTTGTTAACGAATTATCATTATGGACCATTACGAACATTTGTCCTGTTAAGAATCCGTTAATATTATAATTAATGATTTCCAAACTAAGTATTAATTAAAGTTATACATTGCAATAATATTTTCCATGTTTTCTGAATGATCAAAAGTTTAAAAAATATGTATTTATTTAATTTCTTTCTTTGCCTGCAAATATCAGAAAAGTTTGTTCATACATCCTGTCAATCCCAAAAACTAAAATCAAAGCATTGGTCATTTGATATTTTAAGAACTAACCTCTAACAGATTGTTTAACCTTAACTGTAATCGGTATCTTCATTGCTAGATAGTGAGGAGTCATTTCTTCTCCTAATTCATCAAGCCGCTGCCAATGTTCCGTTGAGCTCCATAGAGAATTGGAAATTTTGTCCATGGCTCTCTGGAGAAGCAAAACACAATTAATGAGAGTCAAAAGAAGACCAATAAGTTCCTAAACAATTACAGATTTATATTTTTTCTATGATAAAACCTGCCATATCTTTAGCTCCATTTAAAACCTTTAATAAATCTTGCAGGTGGCTTCATGTTTGGAAATGTCCGTGCAAATGATCTGAGCGACGTTTTCGCCCGTGAACAACTCCCCTGCGGTAGTAAAAATAGACGACTTTTTTGATGCTACCGCAATTGCGGAAAATCTCGGGTTCGATGTGTTGTAGATGCAAGGGATCTTGAAGATTTTGTTCGAGTTGGTGAACGGATTGTACGTTTTTCTTGCCAAAACAAAAAAGTTATTCTCATCATCGGGTGGCCGTGGCTTCCGCAACACAGGGAGCGCAAAACAAAACAAGCAACTGGATGACTGGGAGATCATGGATGTCAGACTCATCGCAAATCGAGATCCGCCGCCTTTAACACAGTCAGTCACCTGCACCTGCAAAAATATTTACCGCCAAGTTAAAGGAAAATTCTGCACATATTTTGTTTTTGTGTTTCTCGTATAATCAGTACTCAGTGAAATGCTATGAAATTCTGATTGGCTGAATTCTGTGTGGATCTTTCGTTGAATGAAAAATAAAAAACATCGCGGGAATTTTATTAACTGGTCATATAACTTCCAAATTATAGGATTAAGCAATACAAGAATGTCATTTTTTGTGAGTTAATATATAGCATATTAACTTGATATATGATTTTAATATTATATACAAACTCAAAATTTTCTTTATCTGCTATCTATTGAATATCTTTCTAAATACAGTATAACCCTTGTTTCGATGGACTTCATTTCAACGGGTTAGAATTAATTCATGTTTCAAAAATCTCTGTTATACATTATGAAAACATATAAAAATCCATTGAAACGCGATTAGTAATTTTGTTTCAACAGATTTTAAATGAAATTTTCTTACATGTCCAGCCATTCTAGTGAAACAAGGTTATTACTGTACCTGTTCTAATTTCCAGTTAAAGGAATATCGTCATCATCTTTCTCTTCTATCAATGAATTACTTACCAAGTATTCAACTTACAAATTATATAATAATGAGTTAAAGATTGATAAATAGTAAATAATAAAATAAATAAAACTAATACTTCCATGTTGATCTCGATTTTACTATTACTATCACAATGAGGTATCAGCTGCTTTTCTTTGTTCACATTAATGTTCCATCTGAATATTTTCCTTCTCACTAGTATCATCAGGATCGGTGTAAGAAGATTCATCATTTAATAATTATATATGAATTATTTAGAATCAGGGTAATAACAAAATCATCCCAATTTTTTAAAATAATTTCAAATGGAGACATTCTCTTCCACCACCTGCCAAAAAAGAAATGGCTTAGTTTGCTATAAGTAAACACTTGTCCCGCCCGATCACATAATAATTTTAGTTTTACCTTTCTTTTGCATTTGCTCCTTAATAGGACAGCAAAAACAGTTGATATTATCATTACAAATAAATAGAGAAAATATTGCATCACCAAAGTAATAATAATACTATGACCATGGCATGCATGAAAAATTTAAGAAACCAATTCAAAGAAAATCTCACAATGCCCCAAAAGTTGGACAATGCACAAAAGGCTATTATATGGTTCATTAAAGGACCAATAAATCTAACATATTCTTTTAGGCATCTATGCAGGTTCTATCCATTATCTTCCTACATTATAAAAACGCAAATTAAATTTATATTACACAGTGAATCTCAAAGTAGTGTGCCTTGATTTAATAGATATTAATGGATTGAGATTTAATAATAATAAATAAATTAAAACTATAATGATAATAAAATTCTTCTTAATATAATGGATTTCTTAATACAGTCAAACCTTGTCAGATTTTGTTTAAAATCCATTATTGCTAATCTTGCCACAACGGATTTTTATATTAATATTAATATTAATATGCGAATAATTTTAAAAATACGTTATGACAAGTATTTAATTATTATTATTATTATTATTATTATTATTATAGTCCGCTGTGACAAGGTTTGACTGTATTAGTAATAACGGTTTTTTGGAAAAAATTTCTAATTGCCCAGACTATCTGCTAAACCAAGATTGTGTATATTTTTAAATTAATGATTTTTAAACGATAAAGGATATTATTTAGTGATGGTGGCCGAAACTATTTTTGAAAAAAGGTAGTTTCGCCCAATACATATAATAAGTTCTAAATCAATCTACGTGCTTTATTTTAACACTTAAAAAATAACTTTGCCCAATCTCAGCCATTAAATTAGTTTCGCCAAAGTTTAGGCCAATTAATTTCAGGTAGTTTCGGCCATCATCACTAATGTTATTATTATTGATAGCAATAGCGTAATGTTGGATAGAAAGTAATAGTAATACAATTTACAGTTGCACAATTCATTAATAAATCTAATAATTAATGTAACTAATGAATGCTATAGATTCGAATCGAATCAAAGTACAATTCGAATTCGATCCGAACTGATTCGAATCAAAGATTAGATGATTCGTTCGGAGAATGAAATTTTACATATAAAAGATGCAACCCTCGCACATTTACCTAAAGCTGTTAATTCTATTATCACAATAATAGTCTATTATATATAATAATAATTAAAACTATAGATCATTTCGTATGTGTGCTTGTATATGTATGTGTGTGTATGATGTTAGTCATCTTTGTAAATGTATAAATGTAATAAAAAAATTTAATATTTAATTAAAATTTATATGATATACATATTCTTTATGTTGAGTTTCATGTCTTCGTAAGCCATTAATATTTTTATACCCTAAATTAAGGGACTAGAAAATATTAGACAGTCGTCAGGTATATTTGATATTTTACAAATAAAATCACGTTATTTGCGTAACATGTGAAAAAGTAAAGTATTTTTGGAAAGAAAAAAAATGGGTATTACATGGTATAGATAGATGACATCCATATTTATAAATATATTTTTTAGAAAATTAAGATGTAAAATATATAAATAATAATATATTTTCTAATTCAGTGTATTACTTGTTAGCAATGGAGGGTATCAAGATTTGGTAGATTTGAGTGAACGAATAATATCAAATTTGTCAGGTAAACTTTTAGATAATTGGAAAATCAATGCAGTTCTTTATTTAAGAACACAACCTCAACAACTTCAGCCACATTACCAACAGCAACAACAGCAACAACAGCAACAACGACAACAACAACAACACCAACTTCAACAACTTCAACTTCAACTTCAACAGCTGCAGCAGCAGCAGCAGCAGCAGCAGCAACAACAATTACTACTACAACAAATCCAATTGTTAAAACAACATCATCAAATACAACAACAACAGTTGCTGCAACAACAACAATCAATGTATACCATATCATTTAATAGTGGTGCTCTTAAAGATAAATTTTATTGTTTGGTAGATGATATTATTGTAGAATCTGATAGAGAAATGGAAGGAATATTGAAAAGATTAAAAAATCTTTGGATGAGTAGACAAATGGCTCAATTTGAGGTAAAAAAATTTATAAAAAATCAAAAATTTTATTTTTGTTGGGAATAATTATTAATTAAAATTTTTGTTGTTGTTTAGGGACAAACATATAGCATTGGTGATTTTGTTATACGTGCAGCTAATGCTTCAAATTCACCACAAAAAGGAATGTTAATTGAAATAGAATATTTGCCAACACTCAATTATAAATCAGCAATACCATTATTAAAAGAATTTATTACAATTTTACTACCTGATGTTAAAACTTTGTCATGGAGTCCAGGATCTGAAATGGAAAATTTTAAAAAAGTTGGATTATCAGAAACAGATTTCTCTAGAACACATACTGCTCATCAATATATTATGTTATTTAAAAATAACAGTATTTTGTAGGATAGATTAAATATTTCAATGTTGCAAATAAATTAAAATAAGTCATCCACCATCCATATAAATTATTTATTAAGTACAGTATAAATTATTAATACTAATTCAAATGGTTCATTTGAACCATACATTAACAACAAAAAAAAAAATTGTATATAAATATTATTTACAATTATCTATTATCTTATAATTCTTCAACATAATTCCCTAAAAAAATTTTAAAGCAAAATAACAATCATTTGATTAATAATATCTCTTAAAAAACAAAAAATTTAAACACACATACAGGAAAATTTTTTGAATTTACCTGGAAAAATACCAGTAACACCATTTAATTTTCCCTCCCACCAATCATCAGTATTAGGAGTTCTTTTTAACACTTCAATTTTATCCCCTTTATGAAATGATAAATCGCCATCTGCCTGTGCATCATAATCATATAATGCTTTGACATATGCAATTTTTGGTTTTGCTGGGATAGGAGGGGGGATTGGTGATGGAATTTTTTTGTTAACTGGGAAAAGTTTTGAATTAGAGGATGAATTCATTGAATTGAATGATGCTTTACGAGCTGATACTGATGGAGTTGCTGAATATGCTGGAGGTGGTTCATCTTCATTTTCATCTTCATCTTCATCATCATCATCAAATTTTTTTATATTTTTCTTTCTATTGCGAGCATAATCACTATTATTATTGCTATCAGAATCATGATCATTACCATTTCTATTAGAGTATTTTTTTGAAGTTTGAGTGTTGGAAGATCGATTTGATGATGATGATGATGGTGATGTTGATAAATCTCTTGATGTATAAGTTGACTCATCTCTCTTTGAAGCATGTTTACGTAAACGAACTATAATTTTTTTTTAATAAAACAAAAAATTTACAATTAAACAATTAATTAATCAAAAAATGTTTTTAATCCCCCACCGATTTACCATTTTCAGGATTAGATTTTGCTAATTTTGCTTCACGATTTAATAAGGTTAATGATTGAATTTGATTCTTTGCATCTTCAACTCTTTCATCATAACTGTCTACTATTGAAGAATCAATATCAATATCTGATTTATCTACAACTTTTTCCAAACGTTTTATTGAATGCCTGAAAATTCTTATTTGAATACGATAAAAAGATTCAAATACTGGTTCAATAAATTCAATCATATAATCGAAAAATAACGGTAATTCTTTCTTAAGTAAATTATTATAATATTTAAATTTGAATAAGTTGAAAAATGGAAATATTTCTAAAAAGATATTTTCTTGTTAAATAAACATACAGTAATGATTCCTTGTTTTTTAATTTCAAAGTTTGTTGGAATAAACTCATTTGGTAATGGAAGTTTTAATTCAGAGTCAATAGTTGTTGATTTTAATTCCTAATAAAAAAATAAAAAAAAATATATATCAAATAAATATTTCAATATACTCAACAAATTATATTTAATGAATCTTTACCTGAAGAAAGTTTTCGCTCATAGGTTCAACTTTATACTCTGTACCATACCATTTTTCTTTTTGATCCAAATTAGTAAAAGTTTGACTGACTAAAGTAAGGATAAAATTATCAGGTCTTAACCAATCTAAACTTTCTTGGATTAACTTAGGGTTGTATTCCCTAAAAATATATGATTTATTTAAGACCCATTCACGAGGATATGAACTTTGTAAAGCATTTGAAAGTTCAGAAGTGTAATCTTCAGGCTGAGATTTTTCTTTGAATTTAAATGATACAGCAGAAAGAATCTCAGCCTTTACAAAATCAATATTTAATAAATATAGCAATAATATATATATGAATTAACCCTACAAAATTTTTTTAAAATCATACCTCATGGTATATCCATTCTTGAATTCCTTCATTTTTCAACATTTTAATGTATTGAAAAATGATTTTAACAATTTCTTCATAATTAGCTATCAATGTTATATATATGATTGTAAATAAATATAACAATTATAACTATTAATTTAGAATTGTTCATAAATAAAATTACCTAGACCAGATTCAGTTAAATCAACATCAATATAGAAGAATCCAAATCCTGCACCCGCATCTCCTGGCCCTGCATCTAAAGAATTTGCTAAACCTTTTCAATAAAAAGTAAGTAAAAAAGTAAACAAGTAAATAAACAAATAAACAAATAAATAATGACTTTTCTTTTTTTGGGGGGGAACAACAAACCTTTCTTTTTCAACAGTGAAAATATAGAGCCAGCACCTTCATGACCCAATAAATGTGATAGATACCTTCCAGGCTTTATAATGATGTTTTTACAGAAAAAAAATTTTAAAGAATTTATAGATATGAAAAAAGTTAAATACTAATATATATAATTACCTTAGCACGGAATAAAGGATCTTGGACTGGAAAAGGAAACCTTATTTTCAATATTATTAAATCCTTGACTGGTTTGACAAATACTTTTTTCTAAAATAGAAAAGGAAATTTTTAAAATTTTAATATAAACATTATGTTTGATATTTGAAAATACATGATTTGATTTTACCATCAACTCATTTTTAGTATAAGGGGTTTCTTTGAAAATTGGTGCTGGTATTGATTTATTATTAATATCAGAAAATTTATCTACTACCCATTGAGTTAATTGATCCAAAGGCTCTAAGTATTCATCATAAAATTACATATAAAATAGATTATCATTAATAATAAGTATATAGATTCATAAAAGTACAAATAACTAATGATATAATAAATATATTATTAATGATACCTTGACCTAACACAACCAATTTCATAATATTTGCCGAGTAATAATTGTTGTGAAACTTTAATAACTCATCTCTAATATCCAACCCTTCTTTAAGTGGATTATCTTTTAAGGTAACTAAATTTCCAGTACCAAATTTTTTATAAGGATGTTTTGGGCTTGATAAAATTCTTCCAAGTTCATATAACCTAATTGTATCAGACTGAAGATTTTTTTTAAATTCTATATATATTTAAAAAACGATGGGATTATTTCAATCTACTATACAAACTAAATAATATATAATGTATATATATATTATTGATCATTACCAGAGTCCACTGCATGAAGTTCCCTGTCAGTACAACTAGGATCAAATAATGGTGATATAAAAAATTGTGCAAATCTATAAAAAATTAATAATTAATTGATTAATTAATTAAAATTACAATGACTATTTTTTTAATTTTAAAGTATGTATTAAGTATTAGTTACCTATCCAAAGCACCTTCCAAGTTTTCATGAGCTACTTCAAAATAATAGTTTGTATGATCTTCACTAGTATATGCATTTGAATATCCACCATGATTTGATAAGTACTAATAAGAATCATAAATTATTATTATTGTGCAAACAAGTCCAAGTATAAATATCAACGTAATCGTGTATTTTCCTGCAAAAATCATCCACAACTGCAAGCGTATTTTAAATTTTATTGGTGGGTTAGGCGTATTTAGAAATTACATTGGCAATCGCAGATGATTTTTGCATTTTAACACAATAATAAATTTCAATTACTTCAGAGTATTCATTTTCTTTTGGATACTACAAAATATAATTTTAATAAGGTATAGTATTGAAAATTTGATTTCTATATCAATTTATCAATTTATCATTTATGATTTCTTTACCTTTTTTGTACCCTACAGATATTATTAAATTGATTGATGGGTTCTTAATTAGTTAAATATCATGATTTAAAAATATGTATATAAATATTACCATGAATAAAAGATGTTCGCAGAAATGAGCAAGACCTTCTAAATTGTCCTAAACAACAACAATAATATGTTTTCACAAAGATATCAAAAAAAAATAAAAAATAAATGTATGTATATAATAGAAAAATCATACTGGATCAGATAACTGTCCAACATGGACATCTAAAGCAGCACTAGACTTGTCAGTTTCAGGATCATGAATAAGCAATGCTTCTAACTCATTATTTAGATGAATCAAGCGATAGGAACGATCATCATTTTCTGGTTTTTCGATTATCTTTGAAAATACAGCATATGAATTATCAGGAGAAATCTCAAAACCAGAGGGAAGCTTATCAAATTTTGATGATGGTGCCATAGTTGTATGTTTCGAGCAAATAATTTGTAATTGCAAATGTTTGAGAGATAAGTTTTTCGACAAGATGAATAACTAATAATTTTATCAATAATAATTAAAAATATTTGAAATAATAATGATTTATTAGTGTATTTAAATAAGATAGATAGACACATCTTTCTTTTTACGTAAGGAACGGGTCTGATTGTTTTGGGAGTTTTTAATTGAATATCCATAATAATAATAAATGACCTCACAAAAAAGGACATTTAGGAAACAAAAGCATCAGATTCAATGTCCACTTTATTAAAGTATAATTTTTGGATATTATGAGATAAAAAAAACAAGGTGTGTACCTACAAAAATAATTTTTTCAAGTCCGTTATCTTTATCCTTTAGCAATATTGAGCGAAGGTCTCACCTTTCATGGTAAAGACTGCTAATCAGAACTTTCTAAGGAATAAGTAAATTATTTACTTGTTATTTCATATCACTTTATCGTGTACTTAACAAACAACATCATATATATAATCATGGGAAGATGTACACTTAATTATGGACTGTGCCAACAAAACATGGGTCTGGCTAAGCTCACAGACTCGAGATTTAGTTAAGACCTTTATATGCTAAATATTTAATATTAACATTAAGTGATTTTCTCTAAAATAAAAAACTTGACGAGATCCATGTTTTGTTGACACAGACAGTTCCCGCGTAAAAACTAATTTGCAATTCGTTATTGAAATAAAAATATAAAATAATGATAATAAATAATAAATAAACCTTGCATTCTCGTTTGTAATTTTTAAATTTATTACTTGAAAATCAATAAATTTTTTCTTGTACATAAATAGCAATGCCCGTAATATTTATTATTATAGCCATTACCATATTAGTATTAATATTAACATTTCCGTTAAATCATTATCATAATCATTATTATAATAGACAGGTTTGATTTAAATCAAAGTCCGTTAAAATCGGGATGCACTGTGTATGGTAATAATAATAGCAATAGATAATAAACACATTAATATTTTTCGACACTTCCCGAAGATGGTAAAAATCACCTTTGTCTCAAGTTCTATATTGCAAGCAAGTCTAGTGATAAAGATTACACGACATCAAGTAATAGTTGTCGTATTGTTACAAAAAAAATTTATAACAGCCAAAAATTCACACCGGTTTGGTGCTTGGCCTTCTTGATGTTATAGAATTCAAATTAATGAATCTTTTTATGATCGTACCAGGGCCGAAAAAATCAATTGTTCCGGTTCATTTGGTAAAACCCGATTGAAATTATAGCATTAAAAAATATTTTTCTTATCGTTTATAATAAATTTGTGAAGAAAATATCACAAGTGGTTTCTAAGTTAAAAATGTTTTTCGTGAAAAAATTACATATTAATTAATATAGATATAAAATAAAATCGTTCAATCGATTAAAACTATTTCTCTACTATTTTAGCATTTAATAATGCATTTACTTCATGATTTTCTTATAGTCAATGCACAACAGCTACAACATCAAAATCACCAACTAAATAACAATAATGATATTTACAAATAATTGATTAATATTAACTACTTTAATTTTTGTAATTTCCGCCCGATTCATAGGCCCAACAATACAGCCTGCAAAACAGTAAAGTCATGTTTGTCTCAGATCATAGACATTTATTAGTAAGTTATTTGTGACAGCTGATATATGTTTTGTGGTAATCCATTAGTGAGACAAGTGAAGCGTTCACTATCAAAACGTATATAATGAATGGTAAGCATTTTTTCACTAATAGGAAAATATTACAAAACTAACACACGGCAGAAACAAGAACAAAAACCGTTTAAAATTAATTAATTTAATATAATACACGATTTTGTGATTTGTTTGCATAATCTCTTGTCAGCAAAACAATCAAGTAGCTCAAACCTCCATTCTCTTGGTAAAGAATTTACTTACATTTGATGTGTTTGCTGACAATTCAACACTCTGCCGTATGGTGTCTGATTTAGTGTGTACACACTTTGATATATTTGTGGTGACAATACTTGGCTTTCTTGATAAGCCGTTCTCTTTCGTTATTGTTATTATTTTACAAAGACTTTTTTTTGAACAATATGAAAATTCAAAAGGGCAAGAATTGAATTATGGAATAAAAAAAGCGAATCATCAATGAAATATTTCAGCAAGCTCCAAATCCAAGCAAATTAACTGCTACTCACAAATGATTTTCAAAGGATGACCCTTCTCTTGAGACTTTTGTTTGATTGGAGTATAGAGAGAGTCAATTTTATTTTGATTCATACCTTTATAATATATTTTTACTGTAAGTTGGCTTTGGACAAGTAATATCTTTGTATTCACCTTTCACAAATGGACAAATATTATTATAAAGGTATTCTTGCCTTTTATAGTCCAAAGGAGGTGGTATTAACAAAAATAGATAAAGCTTTAATTTCTTCAAAAATATCTGCTTTCTTGGTTTTCAATAAATTGAATTCAGTAAAAGGTCCATTAACCAAAATTAGATGATTCTTGACTCTAAACCATTTGATTTGTAAAAGAACTTATGCAATTGATACAGTTGTTTATGTTCTTAATAGACTCTTTAGAATGCATCAAGATGTTCTTGAACGGAGATGGCATGTATTTGACATAATATTAATATTGATTACACAAAGCAAAATACCAATTGTTTGCCATCTTGAATAATGAATGATGATGGTGATTACTCTACTTATAACAGTAACTGATAATTGTAAACTTTAAGTTATAAATTTAATATTAATATTATCAAAATTAATACATATTTTAAAAAAACTAACAAACACTCTCTGTTTATACTTGACTTTCATTCCATCCTGATCTATTTCCAATAGATTTTCTATCATCTTTTGGTGACTTATTTTTGTATTGAATTAATGTTTCTGCTATCTGTAACTTGTTCATATCAAACATGAAGTACTGTTATAATAAATAACTAGAGTGAAAACAAATTGCGGCAATAACCACCACCATTTAATGATAAACACTTACTCTCTAACTGCTTCATGTTGGTTTGTTTCCTTTTTTCTCTTGTTATTTCCTGATGACATTTTTTTAAAAAAGAAAAAGTTAATTGATTGACATACACAAGAAAAATTTTATTTACGCACGTGTATGGTTGTACAAAGAAGCCCCTATTGTTATTGTTGTTGACGCGATTGAATTTTTTTTTAGAAAACAATTTATCTTTTACAAGATGAGAAAGCGTGAATGTCGTTGTTAGGTATGGCTTGCTCTAAAGGAGACAAGGTGTTGTTTATTAATGACCAGAGAGGTACACTATTCTTTGTTGCATTGTATTGATTTTTTTTTTATTGTTTTTATAAATATTGATATACATGTATTGATTCTTTACTTAATAAAATTTCTTGTTGAAATCAAACTGTGGGAGCAGAACTTGTATTTACGAGATTCTTTATCATGATAAACGATTTGTATCGTTTTTGCTTTTCGTAATCAACATTGATATTAATATTAAAATAATAATAAAATGTCAAAGGCGATATATACAAGGAAGGGAAACATTTTGATATGCGACATTTTCATAATTGTAAATTTTACAGATGTCAAGGCACACATGCTACCTTAACACTTTGCAGTCATTCTCTCCTCTTCCTCGTGTACAAAGGCTAACCTGACCTGCGACGCCCGATAATACAATGATGCAATTAAATTTTCAGGGGGGGGATGCATGGCCCTGGAATTTATTGAGATTGCATTCATTGTCAAGGACACTTATGCAAATCCTACCTCTAATGATGGCTCTGTGACCAAGTCACAAACTCTGGAGGAATATTAAGAGAATCTGCAGCTCGTTTCAAGCACAGGAGGTTGCAATTCAGAATGGGGTTGGTGGCCCTGAAATGTGTTTGGGCTCTGATGTTAGTAAAATAAAATGTTTCGGATTTTGTTTGGTATGTTTTGTATAAATTAATCATTCCCAAATTTTCTGTTTCTTTAATTTTTATCTGATCAACTGAATTTGTTATTTAAATGTGGGTAGGATTGTTGGTGAGCAGACATGCCACAAACAAAACAGCAATCCAGGACTCAAAACTTGGAATTCAGGAAAAAACTAAAACAGCAACTTCCCAAGTTGCTGAATTTTCAAACCAGTTGCAGACACCAGCTTTATTCTAGAGAGGTATAATACACAAATGCTGATCTTCATCAGTGATCAATGCTCATGTGGTGACAGTCAAGCCTGATTTGAGAGGAAGATTAGAAAAGTTTTGTCCAAAGCCTTCCAACATGTGTGAAACCTCACTATGGAAAAAAAATCCACAGTTATAGGCGTGTTAAGAGCACCGCATTGCATGTTTGTGATAGGAAATTTTAATTAAATCTGACACCTGTGTTCAACATCAGATTTATTATTCATAAGGAACCATACAATGGGAAGGGAAAATATTTTTTTTGATCCTCCCTATTTATTATTCTTGTGAACACCAGAGGTCTGGGTAGACACACATTATTAAAAGTTTCATTTATGCATGGCCTTGGTGTTATTATTACCTGGGTGATGCAATTGTTTGTTATGTCAATGATAACATCAAATGTATTAAAGAATAATCATGACCATCATGAAGATTTGATGGATGGAGGCATTCACATAAAAGGAAATGATTAAATAGCTAAGTC